TAGGAAATTATTCCTAACAACGCACATGAACGGGCCGCTACGCCAACGAGACCCCACAGAACAAGACTGGGATCTCCCACAACTTTTTATGGGGCTGAATTTTCGCATTACAAGTCGGGGAGTCTCTGTGTAAAATGACCAGCACTGAACTTGAAGAAGCTACATATGAGAAAACTTCTCCTGTTTGAGTTGACACCAGATTTTATTTTCATTTATTAATGTAGGGAAAATAAAATTCAGTAACTGGTAGGTTCCTGTTGATTAGCAATGACTATACACTTTTCCTGCAACCACTGATCACTCTTTCACATTGAAGTTCAGGAATTTTGACTGATTCCTCCTTACAGAACTGTTTCACCTCTGTGACATTTGAAGGCTGTGTTGTGTGGACAGCTTCCTCCAGGTTCCGTTATGACATTTTGAAGGAAGTCATCTCTGGACATTGACTAGGCCAGTGGAAATATGCAGATACTCTTTTGTAGTTCTGCTTATATGTTTAGGATCATTTTCTTGCTGCATGTGTGGTTCAGCTTCAGGTGTCAGACAGGTGGCCTGAAATTCTCCTCAAGAAGCTCATGGTATAAAGCAGGATTCATGTTTGTGACGATGGCGGGCTGCCCAGGTCCTGAGGCAGCAAAGCAGCCCCAAACCATCTCTCTCCCACCAGAGTTTGACAGCTGAGATTAGGTTCTTGTGTTTGACAGAAGTGTTTGGTTTTTCCAAAAAGTTCTGCCTTTGACTCATTAGTCCAGAGAACATTGTTCCAGAAGTGTGGATCATCTGCGTGAACGTCAGAGGGCAGGGAATGTCTTCTTGCTGTCCTTCTGTGAACACTGTTCTTCAGTCATGTTGTGACGGCTGGGTCATGAACAGTCACATTAGCCAGGGCGAGAGTGGTCTGCAGCTCCTTGGATGTTTCTCTGGGGTTTTTTGAAACCTCATTCATGGTTTTCCAGTTTGTTCTTGGAGAGATTTTGGTTCTATAAAGATTCTCCATTTATAGACTGTCTCTCTGACAGTGGATTGGTGGAGCCCCAGATCCTTAGAAATGGTTTTGTAACCTTTTCTAGATTGATGAACATCATAACTCTTTTTCTGAGTTCCTCAGCCACTTCCTAGATTGTGGCATGAGATGTTTACACACACTAGTATGGTGAACCAAACATACTGTGTTTATATAGGGTGTGGCCTTCCAAATTCCCCCCCAGGTCTACTTAGTTATTTAAACACCCAATAATTATACCCTTAATTGATCAAATGAAACTAGGGGTTTCATTTACTTTTTCACATCCCTTGCACCTTAATAACTAATTGTGTTTAATTAATACATTAAATTCATTTATTTTATTTCAAGAGACAGGGAATGGGTTACTGTAAATCCTATTGTATATTTACAAGAAGGCTGGTTTTGATTCAAGAAGGCTATCAGGGTGAGATCTTCTCTGTCACTGCTAGAGGCCTAGAGGTGCCTTAGAGACAACCAGGTGCAAATATTCAAACTCTTCATAGGTACAGACACAGAGTGGAAATCTTGAGAGAATCCACAGTTAAAGATGGAGAGAGGACACAAGTGGGAACTAAACAGCAGTGTATGTAAACCTTTTACTCAAAGGGTTGTGGGAGTCTGGAATTAGCTATCCAGCCATGTCAGTCAGATCAGATCAATTTACTCTTAACAGCCAAACAAGTTACATATGCCAAATGGACCCCTGTCATCTGTAACATTTCTTACAAAATATGGACTCTTGCTGCTCGGGTGAATATTCCTGTGTGGCGTAGTCCAAAGCCCATTAGCTGGGTTTCCTACTCAATGAAAAGAAGACCTTTGTTTAAATGCACTTGCCAGAGCTATGGCCAGCAGCTGGGAGTGATTAAGAAGTGTCACAAAAAACATGGCTGGGCCCTATGACTGTGTGCAGTTTTCCTCACGGACACAAAGTGGATTCATCCTTTATTTTCTAACTGCTTTCTGCAGTGCAGAGTTGCAGGGGAGCTGGAGCCTGTGATCACATACTTTATCATACAGTAGCAGTGTGTTTGTGTTTGTTTCCAATTATCTGCAGTTTGTTCAATTTAATGTATCACCAGTTTAAGCTGTTTACAATTTAGATAGATAAGACTTTATTGATCCCGTAGGGAAATTGATGATTTAGTGGTCAACTAGAAATCCTGTCGACTGGGGCTTTCCAGAAGTAAATATGGGTTTCATCATATAGAAAGATTACATGAAATGTATTGATTCTTCACAGGGATTCTGTGTTGGTTGTATGTTAGCTCTTGGTATAAGATCTTCTGGTTGTGTGTGAGCTCTGTCAGAACATGGCATAGTGCCCAAATCAAGTCTTCTCTCCCTTCACTGTCGAAGGTCACACAAGATCAAATAGGCATGGGAATATCCTTGCCCTTTCTGCATTCTTCAAGGTCATGTCTAGTCTGGTGCACTGGTATCACTTAATAAAAAGATAAAATAATTAAAGGAAACGTTTAAACATTTGAGGTAGAAAAAAAACACATTCCTGGTCTTTAAAAACAAGATTCAAATCTCCTTCCTTTCCTGGCTCAGTATTACTATACAAACACAGAGCACATTTATTAAATAACATTTTTCAGAAATTCACTGAAAAAGTACAAATATACCCAGAGAAATTCAAAGATCAAAGACATACAACAGGCTTAAAGAAAAAAATGTCATGTCCAGTATTGAAATAAAAGGAAATTCAGTAAAAGTGTCACATAGTGCAAGATAACAGTAGACACATTCATAACCACATCACAGAGCAAAGCTTGCCCAGGGAGCTGGGCATGGGTTGTTAGTTAAAAAGAAAGGTGGTGCCGTGCTGCTGGTAACCGTTCACAGCACAGTGTCTCCAGCCCTGCTCCTGCAGGGTTTGCAGGCAGCCTTGAAACCCCCTGGTACAATTTAACTACAATCAATTAAACAGGTAGGTGCTTTGATTAATTAAGTCATTTGGAGATGATTTGAAACAAAATGAGAATATCCTTCAAGCCTCTAGGACCAGTGTTCCCTACTTTGAAACACAGAAATTTATTGCATAACATGTCAATAAATGTGACGAGTTTCCTTGTATTAATAATAACAGTGTCCTACAAGCATACCTGGATTGCGGCTCTCCAGGACCAGGGCTAGAAGTAGCCTTAAAATAATTAATGAACAGATATCTAAAAGGTATGTTCTATCTTCTTAATTAAGCAACTTATTGATCTAATTAAGTTATTCACAGCCCAGACCATCTCCAGGACCATACCTGAGCCCCTTCACACCACACGAAATGTACAGCCCATTGTGTTTCTTCTGTTGCTCTTTGTCTGGTTGAAGACCAGCCTCCTGTCCTCTGTTCTAAATATACTTCTTCATAATTTGACTTGTGCTCTTGGGTTCCTGTTTCATTGCCAAGCATAAAGTAATCCATTGGGTTGACACTGCCAGTATCTTTCACATGTATCAACGTTTGTGTCACATTCTTCTGTAATCTGCTCTGTTTGTGACTGCAGAGCTTCAGGTCCTTTATGCTATTACTGGATGAGAGTCCTCGTACAACTCGTTGCTCTTTTTTTATTTTTTTCTTGGGCAACAATGTTTTTAATTTGTAAATTAGTACAAAATGCCACTGATGACAAACTGATGACAACCTGGTATCTATGTGAGATGTGACAGGTGCAGTCTTTATTTAGCCCTACTGTCGACAAAAAGGGAGTTCTTAATTCAGCGCCATGTTTCCCATGGCTTCTTCTCTGTCGCTCCACACAAGAGACACGCAGAGCCTTTCGGTTGCTTTCTGTTTGACCTCTAGCTGCCAAAATCCAAGATTTATTGCTCAAACGTATCTCACAGATTGTTGTCACAGAAGTCCTCTAATATCTTTTATTTTCCCTGTGGAGGAATCTCTGCACAGATCTACCACATGGAATTCCTGACCAAAAAAACTCCAGGATATTTGCAGGAATCCACAGTTCTGCAGGACTCTTTTTGAAAAAATCCTCGGGGATCGTTTTCGTGTGGGAGTGCAGTGCAACGGTAGGCCTGATGTCGGCTAACACAGGATCCCTACCAAGAATATACAATCTGGGAATTTCTCTTCTCAAGTTCAAAGGGTGCTGTAAGTGGGAGCCCTCTTTTCTATAAAAATGGATCAGAATACGAGGTCTCCAAAGACTGGAAAGCATCTTGGCTATGTGGTGTGTACTCCACATTCGTTCAAACCCCTCCCCCTGCTCACACACTGCTGCCATTGAGTACAGTAGTATTGCTTTCCATCACTTAGGTCCCATAGGAGATGAACGTGAGTGCACGTTGGCCCAGAAGGTTCACTTTTCATAAACAGGAGGAAAGCTAACTCGCTGCAAATTGAGCTGTAATAACACTGTCAGCTTATTACTGCTATGGGAGGGGAGCGGGGGGGCAGGAAGGAGGATGGGGGATTAATTGTACTGTTTGTACAGAACTCAGAAACTGCAGCATCGTTCAGATTTTTTTCTCGGTCTTAAGTCTGATACCTTAACAGAAGGGGAATTCAGAAGAACCTGCGCTCAGAACTGAAACCATTTTCCATTTATTTTTCAAATTCCTAAAATAAAAAGAGTTTGCTTTCCTTGGCCTCTCACATTTGGTGCATATTTCAGAAGAGCTGCCAGGATTGTTCTCCCTGGCCAGGCGGCTGCAGTGCGTCTCTGTGCTGGCCCTGGAGTGCCCCAGTGTCTGCTGGGTTTTCCTCTGGCTGCGCCCTCTATCGCCTGCGCTCGCTGCTGTCAGGAGCTTGCTCCTGCTGCTTGCTTGTTTAGGCTTTTTGTCAGACCTTGGATTCAAAATTACCCTAGTACAGTGGTACTCAGTCTTGGGTAACCCTATATCTTCCAGTTTTTACTCCAGTTTAGTTCTTAATCTCAGGAGAATTTCTTTCAATTTTCTAATTAACGCTTTTTAATTTACTCTCCACTCTGAAAAAACTGAATGAGATTTGTAATGTGTGTGAATCTTGCAGGGTGACATGGTGGCGCAGTGCTGGATACCTGGGTTGGATCCCACACCTGGGGTGCTGTCTGAGTGGAGTCTGCATGTTCCCCCCAAGTCTGTGCGGGTTTCCTCTGGTTTTCCTCCCACAGTCCAAAAATGTACAGGTAGGTGAAAAGGCTTCTGGGAAAGTGCAAGTAAATGGGCTGTGCTTGTATCTGTCTGCTCTGCGATGGGCTGGCGTCCCATTTGTAGTCTTGTGCCCATTGCTTGCTGGGATAGGCTCCAGCTCCCCCCCACCACGTACTGGGAGAAGTGGTTAGAAAATGGATGGATGACCCCGTACTAATTAGTGAATTTCATGTGTGAGTTGAAATAATACCAACTGGACTTTAACAGAAGGAATAACACTGACTGCAGGAATTTTCTGATACAGTGTAATTACCACATGTGACCAATCTTCGTCACTAGATCAACTGTTTACCCAGAAATAGGGCAGCGTATTCTTAATTAGCATAATGTTCTATGTGTTCTATGTTGTTTGAAATAATGCACTTTAGCTGGGGTATTTCTGAAGCAAAGGACAGAGTGCAGAGAAAGTCCAAACCAGCAAGCAGATCATTCTCAGTCAGGTACCAATTAGCCCGGGTGATTAAGTGCCCAGCTGGAATGAGCCCAGCAGACAAAGTGTACTCATCTATGTGCCTCATGTGTGGGTTTGATCAGACTACCTGCCTCACAGCCCAAACAGGCACTTTCAATTTCACTTTTAAACTTTGATAAAATCTTTCACCAATGGACCCTTCAGCCACACTACTTAAAGTACAACTGATCCAGTAGGCACAACTTTCCTCTGGCAGAACCTACCTCTCACAATTTACAAGCATCCTGAGATATAGCTGCTGCCAGATACAGTTCAAATGGAGCATTTCCAAAGAGAAAATGAAAGACTCCAGAGCTTTGATAGATATAGGAATAGGTACAGTTTGCACAGATTACAGTCGAAGAGCAATGAACAATATGTATATGGATTGTGAAAATGATTGTTAAAGGATCATCGCCATAATCTGTTGTGACTGCCCTTAAAACACACCATAACTCTGAAAAAGATATTAATTGTGAGCAATCTGTCTGTGTGAACAGGGTCCAGGGTCCAGGAGGCAGTGTACAAGTTTCTTCTGTTTTGTTTCAAATCCTATTTTAAGAAATCGATCAGTCTACACGCCTGAGCTGCCTTCCACACCCACATTCCAAAGACCCACTGCGAGAGGCACGGTATGAAAATGGAAGGCGAAAGACTTCAAACCTCTACTGGTAAATCACTGTCTGCATGCCAACTATGAAAGTAAAAATCACCAGTATGTTATTTTAGCAGCTGTAGCAGCACACATGGAAGTACAGTGCCAGGGTTTTCACAGTTCTGCTACTTGTTCTTTGCTTTCTTAGAGACATGAGAAAGTCTGCAAACGAGAGGAGCCTATCCAGCTTATTTGGCTGCTATAAAACAATTGATCTGAGAATCTCACCAGCCGTTTCTGAATGAAGTGAGAGCATTAGTTTCGACAGCATGGCTGGGCTGACTCTCCTGCACTAACCGTTTTGCCATGGAAATGACTGTGGTTGTGTTGGGGGGGAATTTCCCTAGAGATTAGCAGCTTCTTAAATAGCTTAGTGGTGCGTCTGCTACCCAGGGCTGAGCCTCAACACATTTCACAAATGAAACTCTTATTCATTGAGTCCACTTCCCCCCGGCCTGCAAAAGCAAGAGCTCTGCAGCCAGTGTGTCAGAGGGTGTCTGTGTGTGTAGAGTCGTTCTGTGTCACTGTGTGTCCTCCAGGAGACTGCTGTTATGTCAGCACAACTTCAAAAGCCTGCAGCAAAGAGAAGTTAGCGAGCTACAGTACATCTCCTCTCTGAAGTTAACAGTACATGTTAACTTCAGGCAGGGTTTGGTGTATTTTTCTGTACCAGCCACTTCTACACCCCTGTATCTTCCTCACCATGGCTTTCACAGAGTAGATTTCCTCCTGCCCAAAGAGCCAGGAGGACAGGACTGGGTTTTGAAAAGTTAATGAATTGCTGAAGTCTAGAAAAACAATTAACTTTCTAAAATTTGTTTATTCACTGAAGCTGACCTGATGAAATAATTTGGATTCCTGGCTTTCCTGTTTTCAGACAGTCAGAGCCAGTGAACTGTTTAGTTTGACTGGCTCAGTAATTCCTCTGTTTGCTGTGTGACCAGCTCCAATGATGGCTTCAATTTAGTATGGAATGAAGTGAGTCCCCTTTTATCTGCACTGTGGTTCTTGGCAATATAAACTATAAAAATACTAGGTAATAAACTCTATAAACATCCAAGGTACTGTTAGTGCTATTCTTATTTTCAGTACTTCGGTTAGGTCCGAATGAGTGCGACAGAGGGATGATGCACGTGAAGAGTATCTGGCGTGACTCCCCTGGCTGAGGGAACAGCAGCCCAGCTGTGAGGTTGGAGCTGCTGAAACCCCCCTCACTGCTGTGAGGAATGAGCTAGGGAGCTGCTGCAAGTGTAGGAGGGATCTGCACAGGGACGTCCTCCTGGACGGCACGGGGAGAGAGAACCAGTAAGTGCAGACAGGTTTGTCCAGGCCGTCCTCTCCTCCAGTCACCTGGCCTTTCACACACTGCAAGCGCTGACCAGAGGAGTGGCGCATCTGCTGCTGATTCTCACCGCCTTCGCTGAAAGTACTGAAGATGCTTAAGACATTGATGTAGCTGACGTCACTGAAGTCCCTGATATCACTGAAAACACCGATGGCACTGAAGACACTGATGGAACTGCAAGGCTACTGGTGCACATGAAGTCTCAGAGGTCACTGTTTTGCTAAGACCAAAAAGAAGCACTAATCTCTGCCTCACCATTGACAGGGCTCAGAGCCTTGGGAATCCAGGTCACAGTCAGCCTGGCTAACAAAGCATTTCAAACTGCAATTACAGGAGATTCTCGAAATGTAAAGAAAATACAGCGATGGCTGTGCTGGAGCTTCTCAAGAAAGGGGGACTGTGACAAAGACAAAACATTCTGGTGGTTGATTTTGAAAGAGATAACAAGACACTGTTGCATGGCAGAGTGCAGTGTACTAATTCAAACACAAAGCCACAGAAATGTGAACCTTCTCTAACCCTTTTCAGTGCTATCAGCAAAACCGCACATGGTTTCAGCACAACTTTGGAGTGCTTTCAGAAATTAGTGTTTTTGTAGGTCACCCCCCCCCCCCAAAAAGCATACCCCTTTCATTCACAAAGAAAAAAACAGCCTTCTCCTCTGTTAATTATACCTTTAAGCTTTTTATAAGAGAACAGCTTTTGTTGCATGAAATGTTCTCATGCACAAGGGTCTGGCAGTGGAGGCTATACCTGATGGGGCAGGGGGTTAGTTGCCAGAAATCAGGCTGTGATATAGTGGCACCAACGTCTGTCAACAATGTGTATAACTCCTCCTGTCAGGCATGGGAAGACACATGGTTTCCAAGCATCATTCTCTGCTTCCTGTTCACACTGCAAGCCCACAGGGCAGAAGACAGAGCTCAAGGAGCAGGACAGAGGACTGGTGCAGTTCTCTCTAATAACACTGTGAGCTAACAGCTACCCAAACAGCCACTGAGGGGCGCTGTTGTATGGCAGAGCAATGAGACCTGGACTGGAAAAAGCAATCTCTGGCCTACAGGCCCTCATCTGTGCTCAGAGTGTAGACCGGCTCACCTGCTCAGGAATCCATTTCTGATTTTGTGGTATTTGGTACAAAAGAACAGGTCTGGATTTCTGTCCTGATCCCATATTCCTGAAACTGCAAGAGGAGTGTATTAGTAAATGTTCCCTTTTAGGCATGATGACAAAAGGCGTGGAATCAGTTAAACAGCCCTGGAAGACTGTTTGTATTTTTGTGCGCTCTTGACAATTAAAAGCTCGGGTTACCTGGGCAGATCTGCAGTCGCCAGCCCTCTCCCTGCTCCAGTTAACAACATTTCAATGGGGCTGGAGAGGCAGAGCCAGGCCGTTGAAAACACAAAGGGTGCAAAGAGCGCTGAAGTGGTCCTGGATGACGTAACCGGAGGCCCCACAATGCGCTGCTCTCTTCCCCTCCACCGCACAGCTAAGCCCGAGTGAACACCGGCTGGGCCGAGCCTGCAGAGGCAGGGGAGTCGGCGGCTCGGCTCTGCCGGTCTCCCCCTGCAGCACGTGTAACCTCCCAGTGCGAGTGGCAACTCGGCTCCAGCTCTGCGCAAATTAGATGTAAGTTCTGCATGGTGACGTCATCCCACACTGCACCAAGCTGAAGTCATTGTCTTTTCTACTGTAAAAAAATAGTTATTTCCCTCCGAGTTTGAAAGGTCCCTTATATCATCATAACTATTAATAGTTACTTTAGTGCATTTCACACGGGTTTTCCTAACTTTGCATGACTACATGATTATTCCTGATTCATTACAAATCAGTTTATATTGCTGTATTATATAATATTGATTCAACATGATGGAAGAAAAATTACACATTCATAATTTCTTAAGTATCCAAATCATTTGCCGCAAAAACATAATTAGGTGCACAAAATTACCGAAAAGAGCCACACGATTAGTTGAGTGGCCCCCTATCTGTGTGCAATAATAGTGGTCTATCACTGTGCCTCCTGCTGCAATAGTAACATAAAGATCTAAATAATGATGTGAGTAAAAACACACTGGGGACTGGCCTCCTGGGACTCAGCTGTCGAGTTTTTAACTGCTCATATTTTAGCATTTGTGCATAGTTCGTCAGCTACACTGGTCTGAACGCTTCCTGCAGGCCGCCGCCAAGATCCTAGATCCCCAAGCAGCAGGTCCAGGTGGATCAATCCAGCAGGCAAACGTTGAAGTGCTGTCAGGCGGAGGGGCCACAGTCCTGCCTCTCACACACAGTGACAAACCACCGTGTCTCTCAGGCTCTAGTGCTGTATTGTGGAGCGCAGGATCATTGACAAGCGGGATAAGAGGATTAGGAGCTGGAGTGAGAGTGGATTAAAGATTCAAAGCCATTCAAACGCCAAGCCAGCTCTGCCTACTGACAAACCCCACAGCCCCAACATCAGAGCACAGATTAGGGGGCCTGACATGAGGCCGCTGAGGGTCTCCCAGACAATATTCCGGCAGGCCCCAGGGGAAGCGGCTCTGAAAGGTGCTTGGGAAAGGGCTGGTGCTGGAGGGGGGGTTCGCATACAGAGGAATGGAAGACACAGATTTGCCTGTCTTGCTTGTCCTGTTGGTAATTTATCTGTCCAAGGATTTTGAAAGTGCTTTTGTAAGGAACAGTGCAATGTCTCACATAGATAATATTTGACTGTTCCAAACTACCAGTTCTTTATATAAATTAACAAAAATATTCATTGTCGTATGCATATTTTCCTCTGAAAGTTTCCCAAAGAACTTCACATGTACTGCAGGAGGGGGACTCCCTTCATCACCACTGAAGCACCCAAGCACACCTGAAATTGTGCCTTTTAATGACAAGGTGGTGAGGACCTACATTTAATGTGTGATCTGAGAGATGGCATCTTCAGGAACTGAGGGATGGAAGTAAGAGCGCCACCTACTGCTCCACCAGCCACTCACAGCAAACCGGTCTCTTCCTCAGAGGTCACCTAGAGGCCCAGTTTTTCTGTTAAAGTTCTGAACTAAAAACATCTACACTTAATTTTTCTGTCATCCTACTTTTCTTGTCAAATTTGAAGACTCTGGCTGTGTTAACTGTCACTTCTGACACTTCTAACTATGTTAACTGTGGGAGGAGCGGTGGCTCTGTGGCTGTGACTGGAAGGTTGCCGGTTCAAATCCCGCGGCCGGCAGAAGAATCCTACTCCGTTGGGCCCCTGAGCAAGGCCCTTAACCCCAACTGCTCCAGGGGCGCCGTACAATGGCAGACCCTGCGCTCTGACCCCAAGCTTCTCTCCCTGTCTGTGTGTCTGTGGCTCCTTGGAGAAAAGCTGGGGTATGCGAAAAGACAAATTCCTAATGCAAGAAATTGTATAGGGCTAATAAAGAAACATTATCATTATTATTAATAATACATTATTCTTCTTCAGAATTGTTCTGGGGTAACTGGCCCTGTTATGAGTGAGTGGGTCTGTGTTTGTGCCCTGTGGTGGACTGGCGTCCTGCTCAAGGAGGATCCCATCCCACAACCCCATCGCTTGCTGGGACAGGCTGTGGGCCGCTGTGACTTTAAACTGGGAGAAGCTGTTAGAAGATGGATGGATAGTATTGGCCAGTTATTGGCTGATAGCTGATGTGTGGTGAGCGTTCTGGCGCACTATGGCCGCTGTCACATCATCCAGGTAGGCTGCATATTGGTGGTGGTGGTGAAGGGGAGTCCCCATTACTTGTAAAGCGCTTTGAGTGGAGTGTCCAGCGAAGTGCTATATAAGTGTAAGGAATTATTATTAGTAGTATAGTATTGGTGCAGGACAGCTTTCCGCCTGGACAGTGTCAGCTCTTTGTAGATGCTCATGGTTAACAGAGATCTGTCCACGTGTAGCTTTACCATTCCCAGGCTCTGTGATGGCAGCTTGATTCGTTGTCATCGCAGCTGTGCTCTGCACTAGCTGACTGCCAGGGTTGGGCACAAAACATGCCAGAAAGACTCCTGTTGCTTCTTTAACCAGGAAATTGACTCTTTGGCTTCTTTTTAGGGGGAGCAGGTCAAGGCCCTCAACAGCAGGACTCCGGGCAGGAGCCTGGAGCGTTTTCCCCTGAGTGGAGCGTTTCCTTGGCAACGCAGTGCGAGGTGCAAGCAGCGAAGGGCAGGCGTGACCGCGCTTCCACGCCAATCACGCCAGACCGCCCGGACACGGGGGCTCAGCCCGAGGGGTGGGGGGCACGCAGAAGAGCTCTTGCAGGGGTTTGTTTTCTTTCTCGCCGGTCTCCGTTTCAGATGGGAAGCACGGGGCCGGAGGAGAGGAGCGCTGTTCTGAAAGGAGAAGGCACTGCGGGCGAGGGGTGTGACGAAAACAAAAGGCAGAACGATCTCATGTCTGTGGCCCCCCCGAGGGGTCCAGTCTCTCTCTCGCACAGGAGAGGAGGGGGCTTAATCCCTCCACCCCCTTACTGGCTTTGTTCCGGGTTTGTTTTGGACTGAGTGTACAGGGGGTTCTTGTGTTCCTGCTATTGGAATGTGGGGCGAGTGGTTCACTCAAAGCTCCGCTCTTTACAATTCAGTTTTTTGCCGAGACCTGGAGCTGGAGAGCCTCAATTCCACCACCCCCCTCCAAAACTCTCTAATCCCTGCTCCACAGAGTGGGGGATTGGCTCTCTGTTTGAGGATCCTCAAGAAAAAGCCAGCTGCCAGACTCCCGTCCTGTGAGCCCCCACCTGGTGAGGCAAGAGTGAGAGAGAACTATCTGTGAGGACGTGAATAAAACACGTCTCTCTTAATCTCCGGCTTCTCGCTAATTTTTTCATCAGCTTGTACTTGGCGCTGTGATACTGGAGTGACTTCGCAGAGTGCGAGTGTTATCTGTTCAGTGAGCAGTGACCTTTCCATGTATCTGCCAGTCCAGCTCAAAGCAGCCGGAGTGTGTGAGAGGAGCAGGGTGGAGGACTAGTCTCGGACACCTGTTGGTCTTCCATACCTTGTCCAGTCACACAAGGCAACACATTTAATCCCAGGTTTGATATTAAATCAAAAACAAGTGAGTGACCTCTTGGTCTGTAGTACTATAGTGTAAAAGTATTCAAAATTACTTTCCTAAAAAGTACAAATTAATTCTTGTTTTAAGATGGTGACTCCATCCTTACCTGACTCTTGGCTATATCTCACCTTCTTATCTGCCACACTGGTTGGAAGCATTTTACTATACAACATCTTTCTTGCTCTTCCTGAGCTGCTCAGCCAGCAAAGAAGCCAATTAACAGCCCAATTATTTGCAGTTCAATCAAGACTGAACCAGTTAACAGCCCAATTACTGCTGGTTCAAAGCTGAGCTGTGTCATAATCTGTGTATGAAGTTCTCCAGGTGTTGATGCACAATTTGCTTGCAAGACAAGCTCTTCTTTACTCAAAGAGCTGTGGGTGTCTCTTGCAGCAGAGTGTCTGGACCACATAGCCAGAACATACAAAAGAGTAGTGAGTTATCCCGGTGTACTGGCCAAATTTCCCCACTCAGCCTTTATTGTAGCCTCCAAATTGTCCCCCTGTATGATGGGCTTGCACTTGCCCTGCGCTGGACTGGCGTCCTGTCCAGGGTGTACCCTGCCTTGCGCTCGCTGCTTGGCGGGGAGGCTCCGGCTTCCCACGACACCGTATGGTAAAAAACGGTTTGGCAAATGACATGACAATCTACTGGCACACTGTAGGAACTATACACTGCTGTACACAGTACCACATATGAGCAAGGAGCTTCTCCATGACCCTGTATTGGATAAAGTGGTTTGAAAATGAATGAATGGATGGAGAAATTGCCAAAATGATGGTGGAAGCTCTTCTCTGCTCATGTGAAATACCAACTCAAGGTCACATCCTCCTTCTGAAGAGTCTGGATAATCCCTAGAAATGAGAGAATTCCTCATTCTTACACTTGGAACAAATCATTAAACTGTGCCGTGGAGTTTAAATTTGAAAGGCAAATCCACTGATTCTAGGTGTTGGGTAGAAGAGACCGGAGAGATTCCTAATGTTTATTTGAACAGCAATAATGCAGCGAGACTAATTCTCTGCATGGGGAGGTAAATACAAGCCAATGGTCTGAGGAACTTGGCTGCTAACACGTCTAAGAGCTGACAGCATGTCTTAGAAATTGCTCTGTTTCAAAACACTGGAAAATAGTATAAATAACACAGTTCCACATAATGCTACTTCAGAACTTGGCTGTAATTTTCCCCAGCACCACTAACAAATGCATCCAACGACACTGCCTGATAACATCGCGTTGCTGGAACGCATTTCCTCCTCCTAGCAGATCTGTATCAGACCTTTTGATTAGTATGGAGCTGTGTTTATGCATGTGCATATATAACAGTTCGTTTCATCCATCACTTCCATTCAAACAAATTGAAATGTATTTATGGTTTGTTTCCAAGAACTGCCTAGAGGCCGATCGCATTGAGCGCGCCTGTTCAAAGGGCCTGTGCGCTGTGAAAGCGAGGCACCGTCTCAGTCCGACTCCTAGCGCCCCCTGCTTTTTCAAGACGCCACGGATTGCGCTGCCGCTGGAGGGAAGAAAGTGTCTCCACAAGGGAAAGAACACGAGACCCTCCTGCCTTTCACGGGGAAAAAGTCACGACAGCAGCCTAACTGATCGGTGTCGAGTGGCCACCTAGCGCTCCTGATCAGTTACCTGAGGAGTAGCTGACAGGTTCAACGGGAGCTTGAAAAGATAGGAAGCTACACTAAAGACTGAATAATAAAACCGGCGATCACAACGCTGGCCCACCTGTCAGCTCCGGTGTGCGGAGGAGACGGACAGTTTCACGCACATGGTTTGACGAGCGGGGGGGGGCTTGACGTTGTCGTGTCTAATGAGCGACAGCCTAGTTTTCCTCCTCTAGACTTTACAGAGACTTTTTACTTACAAAAGCCTCTAGCTTTTACACCACACTGCTTTTCGACTCGCTTTGCTGTTGAATGTGACCGCTTTAAAACTCTTCGAAAACTAGAAAGTCCGTTTGGTTTCAAAGTAATGGGCTGTTTTGGCGAAGTGTGACTGTTGTACTTGCTGCGTGGCTGAGCGGAGTGAACCCGCAGGGTGATTTGCTCTGGTGCTTCTGCAGGACCTGTCTCTGGAGACACCCGGAGCCGATTACCTCACCCTTCAGCAAAAAAACAGCATCAAAGAGCTGACGGGCGGACTTGTGTTGCTGTAAAACAGCAAGCAAGAGTCACAGCTTTCTAGAAATCTGCTAAATCTGCTTGTCAGGTGCCTGCCTTGCCCGAGTCATAGAGCACTCGAGGGGTTCGGAACGCCAGTGTGCTCGTGCACTGTCGGGGGGCTCCCCAGTTCATCACGTGCAGCAGGAGCGTCATGAACCTGGGCTTCTGGTCAACCCTGGAGATTCCTCCCAGACCAGCCTTTTCTTGCGAAAATCAGAGCAGCACGGGAGCAATGTGCCCAAATAAAGCACATTCTCAACACTGTTAGAAAATGTGTTCAGAATATATGTTTGTGACTGTTTTATTTTGGGTTTAGAGTTACCAGATATAAAGTTTATATTGTAACGCTTACGGCCGACAGGGCGCTGTGTAAGAGCCGGCGTACCAGAGCGGGTGACGTCACCGCCCTTCCCTGTGATAGCAGGACCACAGCTACTGGGCTGAGGAGAGATCTCTCTTTGGCTCACGGGGCTAGGTCGCTGCAGAGAGACGCGGAAGTCCCGGGTTCGAGCCCCGGACGGTGCAGGGGCCGACCTAATGCGGCAAGGGCGCCCGCCTGAGCCCCCGTTGCGTTACAATATTAAGGGATGAGTTGCATAGTTTAATTTGCTCTTAAAGAATAATTACAAATTCGAGTAAATATGATCATACTAGTAGGAATAATAAAATAAAAGCCAGACTACTTGACTACCTTAAGATGAAGAATACATTGTTCTTTTTTCCAGTGTGTTTACCGCAGAAACGTTTCAAATGTTGTACTTCGGGATGCAAAGGCAATTTTAAGTTCAACTACATTAGGGGCACTTGTCAGCGGCTGTGATTTGCCCGCCGGAGTAACTTCTATAAATTTTTTACCGTTCTGCTCCGGCGCCAGGTGAGCGACACTGGGCTCGATGATCCCTCACGTTCGCTGACCGACCACGCTGGACAAATGCAGACGGTCCCCCGGCGTGGCCCCGCCCAGGCGCGCTCGTCAGGGGGGCGGGGCAGAGACATGTCGGGGGGACCGCCCAGGCCGAGGAGCAGGCCCCGCCCCCGCCCGGGAAGAGCTGCAGAGCGGAGCTCAGTCCGCACAGGCTGCCGCGCCGAGCTGGGCTCCGGTCACGCCTGCACCCGAGCGGGACACCTCCACGGCACGCAGGACCGCGCTCACAGCCGCAGCACCGCGCCGGGGCTCCCACCGACCGCACTCGCTCACGGACAGGACCACGACGCGCTTCACTCGACAACTAACGGGTTTTTTGCGGTGCTGTTGGTTCGTTTGTTTTTTTTAAGTACCGCTGCCCGGACTTTATTTTAAAATCAACCTTGTTTTTCTTGTTCTTTTTTTAAAAGAGGAAAATATAAATATTTTGTTCCGTGCTTCAGATTATTTCGGGCTGCTCTGCTGTAACAACGTGGAAGGTTTTTTGTTTTTCCTTTTTTTAGCTGTCATTTGGGATTTGCTGTCCAAGAAAAATAACCTTTTTTCATACTTTTCTGTTTTTTTTTCTTTGCGGAGGAGTTTAAAAGACTTACTCCAGGGGAGGATTATTTAAGGAGCTCCTGGTGAACGTTTATGTTTTATTTTTTAAAAATGGTTTCTGGACTAACGGATGTATCGCTTTGTATATTTTGAAGGGACACACTTGTGTGCACAGTTCCAGCACATCACTGTGGAATAAGTATTATTGCCATTTTTGCTTTCAGATAAATACTAACTTAAACAGAAATTTAATTTAAACTGTCTGATGTTCTGTTGTCCATTTCTCATGGGATACTCAGTTCCAAACGGCCCCTTTTGAAACAACGATTCGCAGTTTTGACTTCAGGTCAGGATGGAAGCCCACCATGTGAAGATCGCGCTCTGTCTGTGGTGTCAGCTCATGGTCGCTGGCTCCAGCTTGGAGATTGGCGCCTATGACATCGAGCGCGGCCGCCAGGCAAAATGCGAGCCCATCGAAATACCCATGTGTCAGGGCATCGGCTACAACATGACCCGGATGCCCAACTACATGAACCACGAGTCGCAGAGCGAGGCAGCCCTCAAGCTGCAAGAGTTCGCCCCGCTAGTGGAGTACGGCTGCCACGTGCACCTGCGCTTCTTCCTCTGCTCCCTCTACACCCCCATGTGCACCGACAAGGTGTCCAGCTCCATCCCAGCCTGCCGGCCCATGTGTGAGCAGGCCAGGCAGAAATGTTCCCCCATCATGGAGAAGTTCAGCTACAAGTGGCCCGACTCCCTGGACTGCTCCAAGCTGCCGACCAAGAACGACCCCCACGCGCTCTGCATGGAGGCGCCCGAGAACGACACCAGGACGGAGCCCAAGAAGGGAGAGGGCATGTTGCCTGTGCCTCCGCGGCCGAGGCAGCCCGGCTCCGGGAACGGGCGCTCGCAGGGCAGCCTGGGGTCCTGCGAGAACCCCGACAAGTTCCAGTACGTGGAGAAGAGCCAGTCCTGCGCTCCCAGGTGCTCCTCCGCGGTGGACGTCTTCTGGTCCCGAGAGGACAAGGACTTCGCCTTCATCTGGATGGCCGTGTGGTCCACCCTGTGCTTCGTCTCCACAGCCTTCACCGTCCTGACCTTCCTCCTGGACCCCCACCGCTTCCAGTACCCCGAGAGGCCCATCATCTTCCTCTCCATGTGCTACAACGTCTACTCCGTGGCCTTCATCATCCGCTCGGTGGCGGGAGCCGAAAACATCGCCTGCGACCGGGAGAACGGAGAGCTGTACATCATCCAGGAGGGGCTGGAGAGCACGGGCTGCACCATCGTCTTCCTCATCCTCTACTACTTCGGCATGGCCAGCTCCATCTGGTGGGTCATTCTCACGCTCACCTGGTTCCTGGCGGCCGGCAAGAAGTGGGGTCACGAGGCCATCGAGGCGCACAGCAGCTACTTCCACATGGCAGCGTGGGGCATCCCCGCCATGAAGACCATCGTCATCCTCACCATGAGGAAGGTGGCGGGCGACGAGCTGACAGGGCTGTGCTACGTGGGCAGCATGGACGTCAACGCCCTCACTGGCTTCGTCCTGGTGCCACTCTCCTGCTACCTGGTCATCGGCACCTCCTTCATTCTCACGGGCTTCGTGGCGCTCTTCCACATCCGCAAGATCATGAAGACGGGCGGCACCAACACGGAGAAGCTGGAGAAGCTCATGGTCAAGATCGGGGTCTTTTCCATCCTCTACACCGTCCCGGCCACCTGCGTCATCATCTGCTACTTTTACGAGCGGCTCAACATGGAGTACTGGAAGTTCCGGGCCCTGGAGAGCAAGTGCACGGGCTTCCCCGGGCGCAGGAGCGAGGACTGCTCCCTGGAGGCCTCTGTGCCCACCGTGGCCGTCTTCATGCTCAAGATCTTCATGTCCCTGGTGGTGGGCATCACCAGCGGCGTGTGGGTGTGGAGCTCCAAGACGCTGCAGACCTGGCAGGGCCTGTGCCACAGGAAGCTGGCGGTCAGGACTAGCAGGAAGCCCTGCAGTGGGGTGAGCTGCAGCAGCACGCACTGCCACTACAAGGCCCCCGCCATGGTGCTGCACATGACCAAGACCGACCCCTACCTAGACAGCCCCACGCACGTCTGAATCTCCTCACGGGCGCTGCTGGCGGGGGCAGTCAGGAAGGGTGCCTTTGATTCGCGTGGAGGGGAGCAGGAGACTGAGAGCCCTGCTGGCGGGACAGAGCGCTCGTGAGGGGCTCTTTCAAGAACGCTTGCCGACTGTACGCCAGCTTTCCACAAGCCAGAAGCAGACACTTTCCAGACCAGCTGAGATGTTTTTAACACGGGGTCTAACACCGCAGGGAAAGGAAGGGATACCTGGGCTGCCTCAGACAGGGACTGGACTTGCACAGAGGTGTAAATAAGATGCTTTTCCACTTTTCCCCCAGTATTTGCATAGAAAATGTAAAATATATATATTAATTAATTGTCGATCTATTTATTGTACGGATATTTAATTGGAATCTGCTTTGGTGATTACTATCTGTATGTATTGCATTATAAACTGTGTGTGTGTGTCCACACACAGGCCTTGGCTGAAGGTTGTAGAGGCAGATGAGATAAGTGCCTTCATCAAACCCGTATTCTTTTTAAAATAAAAACGAGTTTTTTTATATATTTTAACCACTTGTACTATATTCTAAGTTTATTTCCTCCCACTTAAATCCGCCTCGCGTGCGTCCTTGCTATAATAGGAATGATAAATTCAGGGTGTAATTCCTGTATTTGTCATGTAGCTGCGCGATGGGCCAGCTTGGCTCGTCGGCGGTGCCGGTTTTGCACGTTAAAAGTTTCGAAGCGATTCACCCCCCCAGTCAAAGCAACTGGGTTGTAACTATTTTTACGGCGCTGAAGGTTACGACTTTCAGAATTTTGTACGTGTATAGAGGGTTTGCTTGTAATAACGTGTTGACTTCATGTTTCTCCTACAAAAAAAACATTTTCTTTGGTGAATATTGCCGGCAAAAATAAGCCATGCGACTCTTGTGTAGACGAGAGACTGCCCCGGCCAGAACTGCCTGGTTGTGTTATTTATTTTTACTCCAGGCACGTCCACTCTATCTGTGCCCCCGCACTGCCTGTTCTGAGGGAGGGCACGGTAGACCAGTGAACTGTATATAGTTACAACTGGCCACTTTCCCTTTTTAACTCGTCACTGTAATTTCAGACCGGGTCTGGGTGACGTGCCGGCTCCGCAGCTCGGTTTCCCTCGGGGGGTCTGGATCTCCGCGGTTACCGTGGTTACCAGATCCCAGAGCGCCGCTTCTCCCGAGACCCCGCCGTGGGCGCAAGCCGGGGTCACCGGGAAGATCCGTGACTTCATTTGGTTATATTTCTATATTCCATCACAGCGACAAACCTTTAAAAGCAGGTCTCTTACTTCCGGACACCAGCATTTAAAAATAACTAAGGCGTTTTTTTTTTCATTCTGAAATTAGAGCACAAATTGAGCAATGTCTTCCGATTCACTCAAGGCAGAACACATTTATTGAGACGGAGTTTGTTTTACTATGTTAAGTTCGATCCAAGTCCTCTGTTAAATAATGTTACATTTTAACGCGCTACACACCCAAACGCCAAACACAAGCAGGGGCCCCTCTGCTGACTCCGGCACCCGGACACCCCAGAAGAGGCGAGGCGTCCTCGAGAGACACGGGGACACCCCGACTCCCGCACCCGCCGGCCGTGCTGCAGGCGCGTGCCGTGGGTGTGCGCTCGGGAGCGGCGGGGAGACACGCGCTGCTTATTCCCGTCCACCCGGGGCAACAGCAGCTCCAGCAGCAGCAAGTGCACAACAGCTCTCTAGCCTCGTCACCCGCAAAAACATGTGCATCCCATAACACATGTCGGAAAACGGCTTGGGGTTATACGGTGTACCCTGGCGTTCAATGAATAAAACGTGTAGTGACAAGACCCTGCACCGAGACTGGTGAATGTGTGTGTTTAATAGTCCTGCTGAACTTCACCCCCTTCTCAGCGCCACTGCACGCCAACTGTTGAATAAGTACAAAGCCGGGCGACAAACGCAGTCTGTGGTGCCGGAGCGGTACAGACTCCTCTCTCCCAGCTGCGCGGTAGCTGCGTCGCGATCGGAGAGCTTTCTCTTGCGACATCTATTATCAATGTTTCCTAATCCCCACTGATCTGCTTTTGTTCTCCCCCATCAAGCGCCCCCTCCAGCCCTTTGAAGTGCTGATGCCGAGAAAGATGCATGAAAAGGGTGAATATTCCCCGCAGCTCGTTAACTTACCTCCGCTGATCCAACCCAAGCGCCTCTCAGCGCGCTGGCCGTGACTGCTCGCCTCCGACATCGCTCGTTCCACTTTAAAGACTCTTCTGTCTTACAGTTTCATTTATTTGATATAGCCGTGGAGTTTAAAGTCCTTCGTTTGCAGATACTCCTAACTACAACTTTACCTTCAAACGTGAAGTATGCTTGATTTGCGTAAAATAAATAAGCAATTTAGAAAAGAGGACCGTGATCAAAACAGAGATCAATCCATGAAGCAAACAATTAAATAATTTATCGGGCGATATTTTACTTTATTCCCCACCTTTTCAGTAACCCTAAACAGACTGTATATACAGTTTAGGTATAGTCTTAGCCAGAAACGAAATAAATAAACGACACTTCCGCTTTTACCCTCCTGCCCCCGTGACCTCCACTGCTCGTGCCGCATTTCAGTAGGCCAGCTCAACATCAGGGCCGAATTTGAAAATGCGAACTTTATTTGTTTACTCCACAATATGTTAAAATGTTCTCCAAGCTTGATCAAGGCAGTAAATGCAGAAATGTTTGATCACGGTATCAATCTAATCAATCCAATTTATCAATCATCTCCGCCCAGACGAGGGAAACGCCAGCAGCTCGTCAATCAGTACTGTCATCTTTACTGGTGTTCTAGGTCCTTTTCAAATTCTCAAACTAATTTGACTTGCAAAATGTAAAGACAAAGAAAAAAAAATGAGCTCCGGCCTGAGACCCCGGGGGGCAATTCTCTGTCCGTCTGTCTGTCCGCACGCTGCACCGGCGGCTGAAACCGGAATTTCAGATGGCGACTTTATTCCGAGTCGTTTTTCTCAAGCCGCAGCTGTCTATACAGCTGTCTATCACACGACACCGTGAAAATGCTTTTCAAAAAGTAAAATACATTTATATTTTAGGTGTTTTTTTTTGTTCATTTTTATGTTAAGCCATTTTGCATTTACCCGCATTTTCAGGTCGCTGCTCATTATTTTAATTAATATATTACTCGAGGTGTGTGGGAGTCTCTCTCTGATCAAAGCGGTAAAGCTCTCTGGCAGCAGGAACAGAGCAAGCTATTTCTTTCCTGGTGGGACGTTCTAGCCCAAACCGGAGTAAAGCTTCTTTATCTTGGATTTCAGAAATGTATTTTGAATGATCAGGATGCTTCCTGGTTGTTTAGCGGAGACAGAAATCTTGCAGAGGTTTCAGATGAATGTTTTAGCAAACCTGTGTTGTCTGGGTGTGTGGTGGGGCAGTAGCCCAGGCAGAAACCTGGGTACAAATATTTCACTAAAACGCCAGCAAGGCATGTCACTGCTGTGTGCTCCAAGTGATGGCAAGCTGAAGCTGTTATTGATTAATTTAATGGTGGGCAGCGCAGTACTTTACAGTGCTTGGATCCTGGGTTAAATTCTGGACTGAGTCACCCTCCGTGTGGAGTGTGCACGTTCTTCTTATGCTTGTGTGTATTTTCACTGTGTGCTCTGGTCTCCTCCTACCTTCTTAAAGGATGCCCTCTGGGTTAATGGGTGTCTTTGTGTGTGAACTGTGCTAAACTGATGTCCTGGTTAGAGTGTGGTCTCACCTTGCACTCTGATTTGCACTGAGAGACTCCAGGCCACTGTGAACTCTGAGGCTCACCTGGAAGAAGAATGTAAGAGGTTACAAGTGCCCATCCTGCCCATTGCTCAGTTAATTCAAGGATCTCACCTGCTCGATTCTTGTGAGAAGCCAAGGTATTACCTTCATCAACGTGGCTGGGCAACTTGTTCCATTCTCTTACAACCCTTTGTGTAAAGAAGCACCTCCTGTTCTCAGATTTAAATACACATCCATTTAGTTTCTACATGTGGCCTCTTATATAAAAAATATAAATAATCAGATATATGGGTGAATAATGGAAAAATGGAAAAGTATAATAAGTCAGTAAATTGCTGCGTATTGAAAATGGCCTGCTTTCCTTCAGGGCAGTGTCACACGAGCAGCGGTCAGTGGCTGTGGGTTCAAAGCCCAGGTGGGCACTGCAGTTTCACCCTTGAGCAAGGTGATCCACACAGGCTGCTGCAGTATGGGCCCAGCTGGGTCAAGTGAACAAAGTCTGGGGTTTTGTGAAAACATCTGCAGTTTTTTGGAAAGTAAAGGTTCAATATTTTGAGTTCTCTGTGTGTCAGCATGTTTGGCCTCTATTTTCCAGCAGTGACATTTAGTTCCCTGCAGTGACAATGGATTGGATATCTCCACAGTCAACAGGGACAAAATCAAATTAGCTCAATTCCTAGGATGAAACCCTATAACTGCGAAACATATCCAGCTAATTTGTTGAATTTGTCTTTATTTCTGGCCTTTGTGACTTTTTTTAACTTCACTACAATTGCCATAATTCTGCTGCATTTGAGTCTGGTCTTCAGATAAGTCAGCCAGAAGTTTTCCCCAAATGTCACATTTAATGTCTGCTAAGACAAAGAAAAGAATACTTCATCCAAAAATTTGCCTGCTGAAATCCATTCCTTTAGTATTCCACTCTCAAACACACACATACTTTCTGCCTGTGCAGACATTGTCCATGGCTTGGCAGAGACACTGTTCCTGCATTGGAAAGTAACACTACATTTAACTAGAAAAAAAATGAACTGTTTGTTTTGGAGCCTGCAGCTGGGACACTGTGGTTCGCAGTCCACATGTACCAGTCACAATAAAGTTTAATTAATACAAGCTTATGCACCAGCGACTTGCCTTGCAGGACTTGAAACCAAACCCCAGAAACCAAAAGAGTGCCTGTTTTCTATCAGCGAGTTAATTGATAATGTCTTCATTGAACTGTAAACGACTACCCAGTCTAAACAGCTTCCATGAGAAAACCGCAGCAATGATGTCAGAGAAGAACTGCAAGCTGCAGTAATTCTGTTACCTGGCTCACTGCTTTGTAGTTTACTGTGCTGCGCTGCTTTGGTTATTGAGGAGCCAGGGTGCTGTAGTGCGAGCACAGTTATCCATCCAGCCAGCGTCTCACCACTGCATCCAATACAGGGCCCATGTGGAGCTGGAGCCCACCCTGGCAAGCAACAGGTGCAAAGCAGGACACAACCTGCATGGAAAGCCAAAACACTGCAGGACAGATAGCGAGACAAACATGCTCACACTCATACTGTACCAGAGCCAATTAACCTGCCAGCATGTTAGCACCCAGAAGAAACCTACTCACACTCTGTGAGAACATGCAAACTCCACACAGACTGCGGCATCCCAGGAATTGAACCCGGGGCCCTAGAGTTGTGAGGCAGCAATGCTACCCTCTGCATTTCCTCTACATATTTGGTGGCTTTTCTTTGAATTGCTGAGACTATCTAAACATTTATTGCAGTTAATAAGTGTGAGG